GGGTAGGAGAAACCCCTGGGATAGTCCTATTCGTATTCGGACTTCAACGCTGATGTGTTGGATAGGAACTCCCAGCGACTGGTACGATTGCTCCTGGAATCCACTGGCAGGTTGTAGACTACAATGACAGAAACTCCTTGGTTGAAGCCCTCCAAGGAACTCACACGCTCTTGTCTTTCGTCCAAATCCTATCAGATCCCGGTCAGAAGTCGCAGAAGAACCTGATCGACGCTGCTATTGCTGCGGGTGTGAAGCGTTTCGCACCAAGTGAATATGGAAGGTGGGCAATTCCCCAGCATACACTATACCTAAATTCGGCACCTGACCATATATAAGCAAGGGCACAGTTGATATGGCTTGGTGGGCCGGAAAAGAGAAGGTCAGAGAATATCTAGAGGAGGTGAATGCGAACGGCAAGGTAACATTTCCCAATTCAATTGCTCTAAGAAGACATATCGAGCTTACTTCTTAATCAGATCCTCGAGTACACTTTATTCCAACCGGGGTTGTTCTTGAACTACCTAGCCTATCCCCATAAGACGGCCAAATATGTTGACCCGTTGCAGAGTGTCTTCGACTTTGAAAACAAGCGCGCTATCGTTGTAGATGGCCACGAGGATGCCATAATGACGCTGACCACTGTCGCGGACCTCGCAACTGTTGTAGCTCAAGCAGTTGACTATGAGGGTGTATGGCCCAAAATAGGCGGCATTAGAGGCAACAGAGTCACGTTTTCGCAGATCATCGAGATCGGCCGCAGGATTCGAAGTACGACTAAGTCTCGCGAATCCCTACACTAATATAATCATAACTAACTGACATGAACACAGGATCATTCGCTGTCGAAAAGGTAAAAGTCGAAGACCTTGAAGCCGGAGACCTAAAGACATCATGGGGTCTACAAGCGGTTCATAAAGCAGTCTCTGAAGATCAAGCATCAGCCCTTCTTAAGGCAGTATCCATTGGTATTCTGCTGAGCAGCACAAAAGGCGCATGGGATATATCGGACGAGTGGAATCAGCTTCTCCCGGACTACAAGTTCACTCCGATTGAGGACTTCCTCGGGGAGGTTTGGGGCGGAAAGGAGTAACTAGCTATGCCTCAGATACCAACGTCATTGGATATATCGTATTCATATCCAACGAATTGTGTTCCCTTTAAAAGCTATTAGTCAAGTTTTACCGTCGTCATCAAACTCACCCTTTATTACCAATCCAACAAGAAGCGATGGAGCCCGTGGGCCGACTGGGTCGGAGTTAACGATTGCCTTAAGGAGAAACGAAACAGCTCAGACAACGAAGATTAATAATTGATTACTGCCTTCCTTGTTTAGTAGTGTTCGAGTCCCCATCCCCATTTGTCCTTAGATGGTATGCTGAGTCGAAGCTCGGGATCTAAATTGGGTGGGTAAACCCGATAAATCCGGACCGAAATACGGCTCACCAAACTCCGGGGGGTAACAACGACCGACGTGTACCTGCCGCCGTTAAGGCTTCCGGCCGGCGGTCTATATGATATAAGATGTGTAACATGCAGGCTCTTTTAGATATGACTGTCCTGAGTATCCCGATTTTACTCATATTTTCCAATCCTTACCACAAAGAGAACCATGGCTGTAGAATACGCTCGGGACCAGCCTCAAGGCTTCAGAAATCGCATTGAGAAAGTAGCTATCGTCGGAGTACGCATAAAGTCTTCTATATAAACTAAATCTTGATTTCTCTTGCTAATTGGAAACAGGCTGGCGGCCAAATAGGAAAGTTCTTAACGGAGCACTTGCTCAAGACTGGCAAGCATGTCGTAACAGCCATCACACGACCCGACAGCACGAATAAACTTCCAGAGGGCGTTCAAGTAGCTAAAGTCGACTATAGCGGCGATGACGACGCCGCATTAGTGGAGGCTCTCAAGGGCCAGCAGGCTTTGATTATCTCTATGTCGGTCTTCGCACCTCAAGACAGCATCAGCAAGCTTGCCCGGGCGGCTGCAAAGGCGGGCGTCCGATACGTTTTCCCTAACTGGTGGGGCCACGACGCCGCGAACGACAAGCTGTGTGAGGACAGTATGTTGATTAGCAGGCGCGATAGCCTCTTTGATGAGGTCAAGAGCCTGGGTGTTAGTTCATACGTGCTCCTGGCGTGCGGCTTTGTATGTAAAGTTCTCCAGAACCTACCCGATAATCTTAACGGAACCATCATTAACGATCACCCTTGAAGTGGTATGAGTTCAGCCTAGGGGGTGGCCCCAATCGCTTCGGCTTCGATTTTAATGAACGGACATTTGTCCAATTCGATGGCGGCGACGTCCCCATCAACACGAGCACCTGGCCGCAATGTGGCCGGGCGGTTGCCAGTCTCTTAAGTTTGAAAGAGCTCCCCGAAGATGAGACGGACCAGTCGCCCACGCTGTCCCAATTCCGTAACGGCAGCGTTTACGTCTCAAGCTTCCGCCTGACCCAGCTCGATATGTTTGAGAGTGTGAAACGCGTTACGGGTACCACTGATGCCGACTGGACTATTACGCGCGACTCTTCGGAGCAACGGTGGAAAGACAGTGTGGCGGGGCTGCAGAAGGGCGACTGGAAACTCTATACGAAGATGTTATACAGTCGTATGTTCTTCCCAAACGGCGGTGGTGATTACGAGTCTAAGGTGGGCCTCCACAACGATTTACTCGGGTTACCCGTAGAGGATTTGGATGAGGCTACAGCCGTCGGGATTCGGATGGGAAAGAATGGTGAGGTGCCCTTCTCACACTGAGCGAGATGATGCCGCTGCGAATAGAGACGTGCCCTAGAGCTACGTGGAGTAACATATTGCCTCTATTTCTAGAGGAACTGGTATAATAGTGGTGTTTATTGCTATATCACCCCGAAATAATTTACTATCTTCCTCCTATTTTTGCCGTAGAAGGATTTACGTCTTAGGTGACATTGCATAAAATCGGAAGGTTGCAGCGGGTTAACAGATCTGTCATATATATACATAATACAAACGTGCTGTCTGCTTCAACTTCATCCCTCAAACGTTTAATGTTGTCGAAGGACAGCCTAACGAATACCTTACTTTACTACCTCATCAATGGGGCCAATTTCACGATCTCTATGGCGGCGGCGGCGACTAAGGCAAACCCATTTATGGGTTGGCCCTGACAAAAAGCTCATCATTATCGACTTGAAATCGGCCAGACAAGCTACTCTGCCATATATTCTCCAGCACCCGGATGAGCTACTTCACGACATACTTCTCTGCGCAGCTGTGCCGTATGTAGCATGGGAGAAGACGTTGCCATGTGGGCTAGACGAGGCGTCTATTACAGATCGATAGCTGTAATGTTTTCCTGTCGTCACTTTAACCGAATACCAGACTCCATACTCTGTCATACGCTTTGCCGTGGGTAAACATGGTTACCCACAGGAAACCCATGGGTAAAATAAAAAAACCATGGGTTACCCACGATGAATTTTGAAAACCCATGGGCTAACCATGGGTTTTTTGGATTACCCATGGGTGACCCATGGGTTTTTTTTATATGAAAAATTATAAAAAATAAAAAATAAAAAAAATAAAAATAATGTTTATAATGTTGAATCTATTAGAATAAACATATGTCAAACTTGTGCCCATCTTTTATGCCCATCAAAAACCCACGCGTGGGTATCCATGGGTTTTCTTTTTTGGGTTATGGGTTTTTCAAAAAAACCCACGATATAAAAAACCCACCCATGGGTATCCATGGGTGGGTTTTTAGACCCATGGGTAAATGGGTTATGGGTTATGGGTTTAAAAGTAAAGGCGTACTGAGTCTGTCAAGCATTGATGCTCGGCCTTGTGCCACCCAGGGACTCCCAAACTCATTCCTTTAGGTTTATTCGCTGTCTAAGGGTACATCCATACCGTTCCGAATATTGCCGGGCACTCTATTTACAACTACCCTATTATGGCTATATTAGCGAAGATGAGCAATTCGTTAGGTCGGTTTCGGATAACTCGATTGGTTTGCTAGCCAATGCGAAGAACCTTTATATCTACGCTCAGCCACCAGCGAAGGATATATGGGATATGGCCTCGAATACATTCAAATATATGCCGCAGGTGCAAAGCATGGAAATGGTACGTGCTGGAGGAGGATTGAGCATTGCGACAACGATCGAGGGTCTTGAATTACCCATGCTAAAGAGTTTGACTGTCTAGAGTAGCAGATTAGAAAAATAGACAAGGCATGCGTCCCGACTCAACTTATTGATTTGAAATCCTCTTCTATCTATATGTTTTAAAGCGGAAAGCTGACTACCAAGAGTAGAGCAAAACTTGGAACGGCCTCAATCACTATAATACAGGAGTATGCCAAATATCATGAACCGCTTACTTCTCTGGTCCAATTGCCACGCGCACCAGAGGAGTTCTATTTGAAGCCAAAGCCAGGATACTGCCAGCCTGGTCCTTTATACGATATAATCTTCCAGTCGATCTTAGAGATGCTGCTTCCCCACAAGCAGTCGCTTCGAACGTATCGAAATCAATCGGCTGGATCCTAACGGCCCAGAGGATGGCATCTTCCACGCGTGCGCGCTCCCAAATCTGGATTATCTCAGACTATTTGATCAAAATGTCCATTGGGACTCGAAGTCGCGGCGCAAGCGTTGTTTGGCGGCTCTTTGCAGACGTTGGTTACCAGGCGCATACGTTAAACCGGACTACGCTCAATCCAGATCGGACTTTGTGTTTGGAAGAATTCGCGAAGGAAGTAGGTCAATTACCCACACCGACGCCGAATAGGAGGAGACGGATTGTCCTAGTGAAAGAGATAACATAGATGACTACGGCGAGCCCCATGGATTTACGCATCTTCCACGAAAGTATCAGCTATTTCGTGATGATCCTCGTGGGTTTGCAACTAAAGTCGGGGTCAATTTCTCGTATGAATAAATGTAAGTAGCATAAACAGACACCTCAGACCAACGTATATAAACACATTTAACAGCCAATAGTAATCACTCAGGTGCCTTAGTATAGTGGTTAGTACAGTTCGTTGTGGTCCTACTCCATACAGTGCCATGTTCCGAACAAACACGCGTTCGATTCGCGTAGGCGCCAGCTGTTTCTTTTTTGCGGGTTTTTTCCCCATTCGTCGTTGAGTTGTTTCCCTGTCATGAGGATCTCATCGTCTTGAGCGCCTGCCTTCACACTGCCCTAGGAAATCGATTGTGTGTGATTTGAATCCCGCAGTGGTCTCCTAAGGGCCCACCTATTTAGGGCTTTGCATCCCCACTTGTGGGGAGCGATTTTCCTTCATGTCTCGCCGAAGCTACCCTGTAAATGATTCGAGACAGTATGAAAAGGGTAGTTCAAGGCTGAAGGAATAGACGAGGCGGGCCGGCTGGTGTAATGCTGTAGACCAGGAAGGTACAGACCAGGCCGGGGAATGCGACGGCAGGAAAGGAGCATCTCCTATGTCAAGCGAAATCCTAGCTATATCCCAATGGATACTCGTAAACGTCTCATGCGTCACAGATACGCGATGGACCAAGCGGGGAGGATGTTGTATAACATAATAACTATGAAAAGGGGGGTATATGAAGTCTGACCTTTCCTCCCCTTTGGAGTATTTACCTAACCTAGACGAATGAATCGGATCAGAAAAGGCCGGAGGAGCACATCCCGTAGATACGAATCACACTAAGACCGCAAACGAAGCTGATGAGCCAATATTTCAACTTTCACCTCTGGGTCCAGTACCCAGGATCACGAGCAGGCTCAAAAGGGCAACTTCGCACCAATACCGCTCTTCTTCCCAAACATCGTCCTAAGATCAGCGACCAGCAGCTCGGGCGTCTCAACCGAGGCGAAATGCCCTCCCCTGTCGTGCCGCTTCTCATACACTACTCGTCCCACTATAGTAAATACCATAACGTTAGCAGTCACCACCAACACCAGGCCACCATACTCCGAGAGAAGGGCAAAAAATGGTTGAAAAAAAGGGCGGTAGGAAAAACTCACGCGTCCGCCCCCACGAACTCGGCACAACCATCAAATCCCGCGGGAAATACGCCAGGCCCAGCGGCACCTTCCCATTATACCCCATGACGGCGCGGAAGTCCTCCGGCTGGTGCGTGGCCTCGTAGTAGATCCGCACGCTGGCGTCGGGCCCCGCCGCGCTGAACGCGTACACGCTCACCCACGTCAGCACCTCGTCGTCCATCCACGAGTACTCGTCCGTCCAGTCGCGCAGCTTCTCGTAGATCCACGCCAGCAGGCCGACGGGGCTGTCGGCGAGCGAGAAGCCCAGGGTGTGCGGCTTGGTCATCTGCACCTGCGTGTATCCGTTCCCGGGGCCGCGGTACCAGCGCGTGCGCTCCAGGCCGGCTTTTTCTTGCGGCGTGTACCAGCCTAGTGCGTATTGCAGGCACAGGAGCGGTGAGGAGAGGGGACTGGGAGGGCGGGTCATGACGAAGTTGATGTGTGAGGCTAGCACGTGTTCTGGGTAATGTTTGCCCACTACGGCGTGGAGGTTAGGATTAGTGGTATTGGGGGAGAGGGCATTGCTTGGGGATGGTTGATGCTACGTACTGGTTCGCGTGATCATGGTCCCCCAATCGCCGCCCTGCGTCACGTACTTGTCGTAACCCAGCCGTAGCATAAGCTTATGGCACACCTCGGCGTACTGCCGTATGGCGAACCCGGGCTTCGAGGTCCGCGCTGAGAACCCGAAGTTCGGGAGCGACGGGGCTACCACGTGGAAGGACGGCTCGTCGGCTTTGGCGTCCCCGGACGTGAGAAGCGGCAGGATCTTGGCTACCTCAAGGAAACTTCCGGGCCCTTTCGGTGTCGTTAGTAATCGATGCATCTCATCATGTGGCTCTGCGACGGGGGAGACGTAATGAATACTCACAGCCATGAACAAACAACAGCGGTATAGCCCCCTCCCTCTCACTCTTCTTATGCACGAAATGAATCTTCAAATCCTCATGCCCATCAACGCCAATCGTCGTCGTAAACTGCGGCAGCGTCTCATTAAGCTCGGCCTCGGCGCGACGCCAGTCATACGTATCCTTCCACGCAGTCGCAAGCCGTTTGACATCGTCGAGCGGCGCGCCGTACTCGCGGTCATTCGAGAAGTCGACCTCCTCCGGGAACGTGGCTAACGCGAGCTTCGCTTTCAACTTCTCGAGCGCCGCGTCCGGCACCGCGATACGGAATGGCTCGATGGCGTCACTGGCTGTACTCATCGCGGATGCCTGCAGTCTGCCTACCTACCTAGCACTGGGTATCTTATAAATTGATACGAGTGTACCTGCGGTCGTATAATCGAATGAACCCCAAGCTTTCTTAATTCGCGCTCATATACACCAAGCACAATATCAATTCGAAGATTCGAGAGGGAATTAATCAGTCCAGCAGTCCAGTCCAGTCCAGTCCGAAGCCAGCCAGAAAATACGTCAGTCCTCCGTGCCACAGCTCCGCACCGGGACACATCCCTTCGCAGAATCTAACCAACCAGGGCCGGCTATATATATCTCAATTGACCCGTGGCCCAGCCATCTCGCATTCGTGATCGGATGTGGCGGAAAGCCCATCCGCATTGTAGATCGCCACGGTTACATTGGGCACACCCTTCCCCGACGGTGCATCGACGCCCGGATGGTGGGTAACCCGACGCATACGCGCATATTGCATAGCATGTGCATCCCCGGGGCCGGGGAGGGCTCGTAAAAAGCCGAGAAATGGGGAGCCGAGGATTTATTATGACCGAAAACTATGTGTATGTTATGGCCGATCGAGGAACGGAATTGAAGACGCCCAGGCTGCCAGGCGCCTAGGAATCCTTCCATGGCTGCTTGGTCTGCGTATAAATGGATCCGCTTAGCGACAGATGTTCCACTTAGCTGCCGAGTCGAAGATCAAGAGTCGCCGTTCACGAAGGTACATATGTACTAACATCAAAAACAGCACGTAAAATCTCAGATATTCAAGTCAATGCTTTCTTATTGTACCAATGCGGCCTGGCACTATCTACTACCGCGCCGGCTTCATGCTAAGCAGTCTGTGGTATAATCTACACTATTAACTCGGCCCCGCCAGCGTCGATCGATGCAAACGCAAACGCAAGAAATAGCACTCATTCAATGCCAAAAACGCCACCACGCATTTCGGAGTCCGTTGTGCACAAAGTCATGTGCTCATCTTATACATCTGTATTCTTCTCTGTCCCTGGACCATCTCCTCGATTTCCGTTGGGAGAAGGGAGTCTCCTAATTTCTCTCCCTGCTATCCCGTACGGCGCGAAGGGGTGGAGACCGCGATCTCGACCTGCTCCTCGAGCTGTAGCTATACCGCCTTCTCTTGGTATCTACCGGCGTAGGGGACCTGCTATCGTATCTAGGTCTCTTGCGGGGCGCGCTGCTGACTGAACTTGTATTCCTGGCTCGCCTTGGAGGCGGCGATGGCGATCTCTCTGAAGGGCGGCGGCCTCGCTTGGGGAGTGGAGACCGAGACCGAGATCGAGAATAACTTGAGCCGCGGCGCGGCCGACGGGGAGGACTGGCTGAGTACGGGTCTCGTCTTGCTGGTGCCGTACGAGGGGGTGGACTACGGCTCACTGAAGGTCGTGCCGCTGCTCTACGGGGTGGTGGGCTGCGACTCCGTGAAGGTGTGTATGAGCGTCCTCGTACAGGGCTACGGCTGCGACTATACGAACGAGGTCTAGCTGCTCCTCGCGCAGGCGGTGGGGTGACCGACCTGTACCGTGAATAGCTAGAGTCCCGGCGACCACGTGGTGGACTAAGGGAATCAGAGTATCTCTTGTTCGTTCGTCGAGGAGAACGGCTCCGCGATGAACCGGAAGAGTACGAACGAGACCGAGACGGGCTTCTACTCCTGCTATATGATGGTGACCTGCCTCGTCGCGGTGGCGTTCGTGACAAGGAGCGGCCCCTATCGAGCGCTCTTCGGGTTGGTGTACGGGATCCCGATCGGGAACGGGATGAGTAAGAGGAGCCGGTATACGAAGAATAGCTAGACACGGATTCCGAGTCTGACTCATCAGCTGCAGGCGGTGCGGGTAGAGCTGGCTTCGGCATATTCGCCAAGTACTCTCTCATCTCCTCAGTTAGAGCACCCATACCAATACTCGTAAAGTAGTTGATCGAGAATCGCACATTACGGGCATTATCGCGAGGGAAGAGGCCGGTGAAGCTTTCCTGCAACGTGTCGTCCTGCACGCGCGCCTTCAGCTTCGGCATGCCAAGTTCTTCGGATATTTCCTGGAACAAGATCTTGATGAAGATACGGCTCGCGGATGTCGTCTCCTCTTCATTCAGGTGAATGATGGACATGGCGTGCCAGCCGATGGCGTCTGAACCGAACATGTGGCCAAAAAATCTGGCAATATTTCGTAGTCGATTCGTCTCATAACGGTGGATTGTCTCGTAGTACTTCTGGAAGCTTTCTGTGAAAAGATCGCACCATAGGCGATTGATCTTGGCAAACCGCTCCCCGATCAAGCCGAAGAACTTGGAATATGTCTTCTCCTGACTGCAGCACTCTACCACCATAGACGGTAGTTCTGGTTCTTGACCGGCTGGTAGGTTGATTTTCATGAGCTTGTGAACGCATTCCTCAGGGTCCATGCTACTCATGATAGTGAGGTAAATGGTTTTGCGGAGATTCACCAGATCGGTATTGGACTGATCCTTGATTTCCATAGCCTTCTGCTCTTCGTTCTCTTCTTCAGAGCTCTCGTCGTCGTCATCGTCGTCTTCCTCGTCATCGCTTCCTTCTCCTAGAATCTCAGCTCTGAGTTTCTTATACGCTGCCTCGTTCTCCTCCCAGTCCGGGTCGAATTTAAAGATATTGAGCCCATCCTGGACATCAAGCTCGCCGCTAAGCTCGACCCGGTGTGTAATTTGGTCCTCCTCCTCAATCAAATCGAGTTCCTCCTTAATTGCGGGGTTATCCTTGAACTTGTCCTTTCGGACCTGGAATAGAACTTCGATCATGAATTGCACCCGCTTATCGATATCCGCCTCGTGTAGAATGTTCCTGAACTGGTCAAATACGATATTGGCGATCGCCGGGTTCATATCCTCCAGGTGCTG